TGCATTATAAAGATAACTACTTACTTGTAGCTATTGTGCATTCGGCTCCCTTGTACACATCCTTCATCATTCGAGTAATATGTGGGAGCAGCCGCCACGACACCTTTGTACAAGAGATGTATCTATCGTCTTAGGACACGGGTCCAATCCTAGGTCCACTATTGCACAGTGGCTACGTGACCGTGGCCACTCACTAGCCAGTCCAGTGTCGATGAGGTCTTTCCGCTCATCTGCACTGCAGGCTCGAGTTCAGCTTCCGTTTGCCTGGAGTCGGTCTGGTCTGTTCACCATCATCGTCCACTCACGATTACTGCGAACCAAAATGGCCTGTTTAAATTGTAACATATATTTTCTAACTGTCATATAATCATATCTGCTAAGGAACGCTGGTGACAGATATTAATAGCGTGATTATAATATAGCAGATTTGAGTCGACTTCCGGAAAGTTGTGCTCACGTAAATATGCGCTCACGAGTGGATAATACGGATAAATAAATAAAATAAATATTTCAAAAATAGGAAGTTTTAGGATTATATCAATACTTGACTCATTATGAAATTTGTAAGCTAACTGTTTTCAAATAATCGAAGTTCTAATTTGAACACATGCAGTTATTTCAGTTCTCCGTGAATTGGTCACTATATTAAGGGGCGGGGCATTTGCAGCTTAGTTGCTCCCCCCTATTTTTTACCTTCGGCTCAGAGTCCCCTTTCGGCACAAACTTCCTGTACTCTTTGAGTTAATAGGTGTGATCGTTATCAGACATTTTGTCACTAGATATATTTTTCACTTCGTATCGAGGTGGAACCATTCAACCACCTACTACCTCGGCCCTCGAGTATATTCTGAACACTCATATAAAAAACATAATTCTTTGATTCGCTCAAATTTTGTTTCAAATTTGACAGGAGATAAAATACGTTGATTCAAACAATCACATTCAATTTTTTTTTTATCAAAATCTTAACACAGAGATAGTGGAGCTCATATGCCTCATTGGTGAAGGCTGATTGGTCCTGCCTCGCACGCACTGGGATGGTCAGTGGTCACTGGTCAGTCCGCTGTCTCTATATCTGTGGCGACAACAATCAATCAATACCTGAGTAGGTCTATGGTGTGAGTGACCGTGAACACTGGACAAGTAGCCATGTATTGTCTAGGCCCTCAGGTACATTCCATCGCGACAAACGGAAAGACCCCCTCCCACCAGAGGGGCAAGGGCCTACTCCACAGGTCCTGGTCCCACTGCCACCAGGTAAGACAGTCCCTAGTCGTAGATGTCCGTTACATTGGCAAAAACGTTTTGTTTCTATGTTTTATTCCGAATATATGTATACACATTAGGATATCAGTGTTTTGAAATGACAATGGTTTACTTTCACGAAATCAAAGATAAAAGTGCTCTAGTTAATTTAAAATACAGTGTGTTATAGCGCGTGTACTGTTAACTAGAATAACAGTGTTTTTGAACTGATAACACTTCGTTTTCATGATTTGCTCTACGAAAACGTATTATAAGGTATGTTGAAAAGGCTTAATATGATTTTTTAATACGGTATGTGTACATTAGGACAAGAATTGTGTGTTTTAATCGGTAGCATTTTGTTTTCATAGTTTACGAAAGCGTTGTATATGTGTGTTAAAAGTAGCAGTTAGTTTTGAATACCTTATGAATACTTTTTGTATATCAATGTTTTTTTTTGTTTTTTTTTCTTGTATCTGACGGCAGTTTTTTTTAATAATTATAATATAGTTTTGAAAACAATATTTCTAAATATTTTCTTAGTCTTTTTAAAGTAGCATAGCAGTCCAAGAAAATAAGGATTATGCCAGCTATCAGTCCATTATCTTACTTTTCATTATCTTACTATTTGTTTCCAACAATCAAGCAGTACTTAATTAATTGATTTCTTCCTACCGCATTGGCTGTTGTTTCCCTTGCTCAATACTACAGTTCATTCTGGAACAGAATTTTAGTAGTAATATCAAATGACAAAATTATTCTTTCATTTTTATCTATTGCGCTTTCCCATCGATTATACAAGATTTCCGTGACAGTCAATTCGCATAATTTGAAAATCCTGTTAGAGAACAGTACCAACTAATTTTCATATCATTAAAAAAATGACTTTTATTTCGTATAGTCTATTTACAGAACCTATCCCAAGCTTCCAGATATAGTCAAATTGTTCCACATACACAGTTGTTTTTAATATATAATAGACATTGAAAGATATAAATACAGGTTAAGGGCATCACAGACAATTTCTTAAATATAGGCTTACAATGACTACTGTACGTGGTGGAGTATAAACCAAACTAGTACTGTAGTATAGTACCATGTTTTACTAAGTAACTATACTACTAGTACCTTGTATTCCGTAAGAAAACCCAATGGACAATTTTTATATTCAGGAATTAATAACAACATTGATGCTAAACTGTAGCCGGAGTCCGGAGCGACAAAACTGTGTATTGTAAGCTAACACAAGTGTATGATCACACTTACCTATCTAAAGTAACAGATAGGTCTACACTGGTCTTTGAAATGCCATATATTGTAACAGAGATAAAAGTCTAAAGGTTAAATATACTAACTTGTGTTAACGTTAAAGCCAGAACCGGATGTAAATGAAGTTAATTGTGATTAGATTAAACATTTGACTGCAGTAAACGTGGACACAGTTGGTGCGAGATCGGCTGGTAAATTAGTTGAACACCGTCATTTACTAAGCATTATTTTATTACTTCTTACATTAATGTAAATGAGTAATTGTCTTAAAATGCATCACCCAATTTTACCTCAGCCATTTGTTGTTTTATTAGTAATCGCCTTAATACTGTGCCTTTGAAACAGAACAGACGATAACTTATAAACCTGCTATGATTACCAGTGCATGCATAGAAACTTGGATGATTCTTACACGAAGGTGAGTACAGCATGTAAAACAAGCTATAAAATACACTAATAACTGAAAGTAAACTAAAAACTAGACCACATTTGATAGAATACAATAAGAAAATTAAATGTAAACCTAAAAATATTTTTGAAAAGAATTGGCTACGACGAATAGTTGTTTGTTTAGAATATATTTGACGCATTTTTGTAAACCAAAACAGTAAACATATTGGGTGTTTGTTTTGAAATCCGTGCTGTTTTGTGTTAACACTAGATAATTAATTACGTCATTCCCGCATTCAGTCAATCGAGATTAGAAACCCGTGGAGATTATATTAGGGATTTATGTACTCTATTGCTTACTGCTCGGCTATTCAAATCACGATCAGAATGGGTACTGTATCTGACGACGCCATGCATGGCGATACGTAGCTACTTAAGCACATAACGGCGCGTCCACAGAACTCGGCGAACTTTGTACCATTAATAATTATTGTCAATAATCGTAATTGTTGTCTACTAATTGGCTCATTAATCAGACATGTCGTACTTTGTAAGATTTGTAATTAGTTCATATATCGCGTAAGACGTGGTGATTTATATCCATTCATAGTTACGGTATTTCCCGATGTTGTTTTGATTCATATATTGGCCTGCTTGATATCAGATCGATTTTGATACTAGTTTTGACAACTTTTTCTGCAGATGAAAGTATTTGTGGGCTGTTATTCAAATAGTTTGGAATCTATTAACATTACGTCGTTTTTAATATTTAGTTTCAGGTAATTAAAAAATATATATATTATTTTTTTATTTTTTAGGTATTCTAAACATATAACATAGTTATTATGACTTTTATAAAATGTAAAAGTTAAAAAACACAATTTAGCTGTTAGTGATTAAACCACAGATACACAGTATCTGACACAGTGTGATACACAGTATTTACAGTTATTAAATATATATATATATTTACATTTATTATATATATATATATATATATATATATATATATATATATATAACGTCAATAATTAGTAATTATTATACTTAGGATGGACATAACATGGGAGAAAGCATACTGCCTTTTACCTATGTCCTGTTAACCAATAATTATTTATATAATTATATAGTATTTTAATTATTTATTGCATTTTATTTGTTGATTTGAGCTAAATTTCAGACTATATTCGTAACAAATATTTTTAGTTCTTATAATTTAAGATTATAATTATAAGTAATCTATAGCAATGAATAATGTAATAGATTATATAGTTTGTCTTTGTAACATCCATTTTAACCTTGACATTCTATGAGATAAAAAATACATTAGAAACAAACTCTTGCTATTTCCAATAGATGTCGGGTTACTTATTTTTTTAATTGAATAAAACCACTCCGCGCCAAAGCTGGTGGCGGCTGAGGGATTAGGACCGCCAGGTAGGACTACATAGGTCGGACCTGCTCACCGACCTGGCCGTCCTAATCCCTCAGCCGCCACCAGCTTTGGCGCGGAGTATAAGACGGTTAATATTAGAAAAACGAATATAAATAAATTACTATTTAAAACATCTAAACTAAAAGTTTTAAACCATATTATGAAAGTTAAACTAAAACGTAAACATGAACTAAAAAATAAAATCTAAAAGAACGCAAAAGGAAATATTCTATAAATTTATTTGAAATGTAGCCAAATGATAAGATAATTGTTACTGCTTATTTCCAGGTCTGAGATTGTTTAATCACAATCACGAGACATGCCACAATCTTCTCTAACAATTCATCAGACCATAGCTGACCTCTCTATGTTCGATCGTAATTAATCGTTTCTTGGCAATAGCAGGGTATCACTAAGCGATTTATGTCACTAACTGTTTCTAATTAAGCTTTTGTGTTTACAAGATGATAAATGTGACACACCCTTATAATAGTTGTAAAAGTAACTCACATGTGATCAGGCATTTACACAACAATAACACTTTTTTATTGACACGAAACTGATACACAATATTTCGTAGAATTAAAAAAAGTACCTAATCTCTTGGCCTTAGGTTATCTTCGAAATGAACCGGTTAGGGTTTCAACTCATGCCATCCTTCTTGAGTTCGTTATTTTGTGCTAGTTTGGATGATTTCGTCTTTACGATAAGAATTTATAAATCGTTTCTACATGTGAGATAACTGTTAGTCTGTGTCTTAAACATCCCCGCTGTTAAACATCTTCTTGCTCAGTAAGTATGTTGGGATGTGATGAACAGGGTTTTATTATTAGTTTGGTATAAATGCGGAAATAGGTGTACAATTCACCAAAATATAACTAACCACATATTTTAACGATTAGGCCATAACTACCCATGAGGATAATTATTGGAGACCACATACTGTGATTAAAACTTTGAGTTTCTCAAAATGTGTTAAAAACGGAATAGAGTAATAATTTTACACACTAGATTATTGTTCTAAGTAGAATCAAAATTGCCATGATATTTGATTAGGAAGAAATTTTAAGTTGTTCTTTATCCATATTTTAGAGCAGTTTACTTCGCCTCCTTTAAGAACAAATGCAAGTTTTATTTTTTAAATTGATTTCAGAATCATTTAAACAATTTACAATCAGTTCTTTGAAATTTCGTTCTAAAACAGCAATACAATAAGCCCATACATGTTGTATTATTTTTTTAAATCTAGACTATATTATTTCTTTGCTTCTAAAATTATTGGTTTGGCTATTTTTATTTTGAATGATTCCGTATATCCTTAATATAAATAGTGGTATAACTTTAAATTTTGAAATTAAATTAAACTAAAATTTATTTATTTAGACAGGCAAAAGTTAGGGCCACATGACCCTTTCTTACACTTAACCTGTAATTTTGCTGCTATTTTAAACATAAATATTCCAAAAATTGTCTGTCCTAGTAATCCCGCAAAATCTACTACTGTAGATAGAACTTTTGCAGTGGTCATCTATGTTAACTCAAGTGGTGGACATTTCGTAGTTGAACTCACAAATAAATGTATCCACCACATCGTTTTACTAAGGCTCTATATCGTGTTGTCACAAGGTTTGCTACCAAATACCAGAAATAAAAATCATGATTGGTCTTGAAATAGTTATTAGTGTATGAAGATCGAAGTAGGCTACGTCATTGCCGCTCGAGAACTGTAGATGGCCGCACGAAGCTTTATACAAAAATTAGGCTATGTTATTAATTTGCTTCCCGGTTGTTAACGTACCAAATCCGTGGGTGTGGGTGGTGTAAGAAACGCCAACAGTGAAATCAGTTGATTAAGCTTGCGTAAATGAGCTATTCTGTGTTTCTGTGTTTGTAAGTGTGACAATGTAATCATTTATATGCAGTGTTGGGAAAAGAATATTTTTAGTAACTCAGCCATTAAATCTGTAAGGATTTTTAATGTTCCTCAAGCTGATAATGGCATTAAAGTCATAATTTTAAGGCATGTGCATTGTGCAAAGGTTAAAGCTGGAACATTTTCAACATAACATTTGTTCATACCACTGCATGGAAATGATCACATTTGCCACAACTGTAAACAGTACGCAAAATAGCTCATTTCCACTCTATTAGCGGGACATTCCCACTCGCTAAATCAGCTGATTTAACCATTGGTGTTTCTACACAAACCACAGCCACGGATCCAGTACGTTACAACCGGTAAGCAAATGATATAACCTAAGAAAAAAACGCATACAAGACCTAAATTACCTTTCATTTAAGACTTATAAGTTAATCTATGGGTGATGATAACTGAAAAGTTAATTACGGTGGTAGGGGAAATCTTGTTTGTGTTACCACGAGCACAACACAGTCATTGCCGCTCTCGAAATTTACTACAGTTCTTGAGCGGCAATGACGTACTTTGCACTCTTAATCACAAATAGCGAGGAGCTGGCTAAACGCTTAAAAAGGTCCGTTATTTAGTCCTCTTTGCAGCAGTTTTCCGTTTTACGTTTCTACCTTAAATTTGATTGAGTTATGATTTTGTTTAACCTGTCAGCTGCTTTGGGGAACGAGGAAGCACTGACTCCAGCTGTCTATCACATTAACGACACAGTATAAGTTGTTTTGTTTCAATGAAAATACAGATACTGTACTTTGTACTAGTGCTTCTGTCCAACGAGAACATTCTAGAACATGAGTTTCCTACACAAACCTAAATGCACATTTCCTGTCAAAGGTTAAGCTTAACGTGAAGTTGTACATTTTGCAGCTTATATCAAACAAAAATAATCAATTAATTGGTTTCCATAATGTTGTTTACTTTATTGTTGTTCCTAATAATTAATTCCTTTTTTACCACGTTTAAAAGGATAAACACCATGGTTTTGGTAAGGGGTTTGATGGAAAACCGACCTCTGACATCTCTTCACATTTAATTCAATAACTTGTTAAGAAACATATTTCATATAACAAACCAAATTCTATTTTATAGAAAATAGATTTTGAATTGTATACCCATACAAAGAGCAATGATATTTGGTGATAAAACATGACACATTTATTAAACATTCAAAGTGGATTATCTCCAAAAGCTTTTTTTGTACTGAGGTAGGTTTTTTCATCCAGCTACTCTATTGTAAAACAGGGATGGAACCGTCGAAAAAAAGCTTTCTACTTTTGATTAATACATCTAATTTGTATACAAGAATCTCTTATCGTTCAATGCCATACCTTTAAAATTGCTGGATTTCAAATCAAATCAAACCAACTATTCCATATCTATTTCAATGAATTACTACACCTTTAAACATAGAACAGTAAACTTTATATGGAGTTTAGCAAGTGTTTCTAATAATCAGTAGTCACATAGTATCACCATAGACTAAGACTTTAAAATCTCAGGAGCCCAGGAGTTTGTTAGCAGTCTTTAGGGTTTGCATATGTTGATATTTTTTTAGCTATTTTTATGGCCCACCTTCCACCCTTTTTTAGAAACTAGGATCCAGCCCAGAACTGTTTTACACATTACATCAGGCAAGGAGAGTTTTTTGGCATTATAAAATATATATAATTGATTGGTGATTGGCTGGATTCGAACCTGGGACTGAACCTTGAACCTAGTCCAGTTTGCTCCCCGTATCTTGAAATTGGTATTAACATTACAGAGGGGACTTTTGTGCTAATTTCACATTTTACTAGGGTTCAAAACTTTTTTTCGCGGCAAAACAAATAATGCATTATCCTTTAACTTTTCAAAGATTATGTTTGTTGGAGGCAATTATTATGTATTGGTAATCATTTTATAATTATCAAAAAAGGAAGCCTATTTAATATAAATTTTCATAAGCCGTTTTGTACCTTCTTTACAATCTGACTGTGGTTAAACATTCAACTGTAGAACCAGCTGTTAAATTAAAATTCATATTTGAACCGTATAAAGACAATTGATCAGCAATACTGGATCCTTGAATGTGAACTCCAGAAATAAATCAAACGCTGGGAGGCAAAGCCCTAAAAGAATGAGGTTTTTGGTTACCATTCGCTCTGCTAGATCATGAGCTTTAAAATTACACATAAATCGGTTAAGTAGGATGGCTAAAGAAGTAATGTTACTAAAAACCCTCGTTGTACACATATATAAATAATTGTACGAACAATGTCTATTAGTTTGGTATGTACTGGTACACATTATTATTCATACATATCAAATATCATTTTTACTATGACTAAATAATGTCAATCAAACCTAAAAAGATTGTTGCTAGGTTCTGGAACTTAAATTACAAATTTTTGAAACAAAGATTCTTGCTTTAAACATAGTTCTTTTGTTTACGGTTTCTTCATAATCATTCCTTGAGATGTGTAAGTTATAATGAAAAATAAACAGCAACAAATCTGGAAGAGTAAGAAATTATGTGTTTATTTTATTGAATGAAAACATGCAGTAATAATAATAATAATAAAAGAAAAAGTATTGTTTCAAGCTCACCAGGCAATTTCACTAACAACTACCTAACAACTGAGAAATAATACTATTCTAAATTTAATATTAAGTACAAAATCAGTTTTCACATGTTTTTATTTTATTCGGGTTTTATATTCAACCACACATCATTTATGTCAGTTTTTACTTTAGGCTTATTGTTTAGCCCATTCCTTTTTTGGAGAAGTCTATGAACACAGGCAATAAATAGATCATCTGCTGACATGATAATTTAAAGAGGTGGCCAAACTTGGCATGTAACATAGTTTTAAATTATTCAAACCACTAGAAATGTTATCAACCTTCTTTTTTATGCTTTGAAAAACCTCAAGTTGGTAAAATTTTGATGTTGGACATATAATTACCTAATAACAAATAATCCTGCGGAAGAGATAACATCTGTGAAAGAAACCTTGATCAGAAAAGAAGGTTCAAGACCCCGACCCCTCAGCCGATCAATGACCCTCATCGTTTTCGATATGTTATCATTTGTTGAAGCTGGTGCGTAATTCCTTTAAAGTCCATACAAAACTGTCCAGTTCAAAGAAAATAGTTAAAGTTAGCTAACTAGAAGGGGTGTTATTATCTTTGTCAAACTACACGAGGTTTGTAGCAATCATCTAACATCACATTAGAAGTACCAGTTACACTTTAAAACAACAATGCACAAACTTTAAATTACTTTAGATAAAATAACTATGGATTAATATTTCTAAAAATTATTAAGTATAACCAGGGTTTTCAAGTCCCGCCATAAACCTAGTAATTTATGAACAACTTGTTTAGTTGCTCTTGGGAGCAAAGTAATATAAAAATAAACTGAACTTATGATGCAACCATAACAGTACCTACTTAAAATGATTATTTAGATAAATCTAAATATTAAGAAAATACTAATAGTGTGGGAAATTGTAAATAATACAGGTATATATACTCTAATTTAAATTGCACAATTAATTGGTTAATTTGGCAAATGTATTAACACATTGAGTTCATCACAAAGATCGTAATTAATATTGACTGGATGCCCAAGATAGATAACCATATTTGGTTAGTAATCTTGTATCGTATATTTACTAGTGGTACGATGCATGATTTTCATGAAAAAATTTTAATAACCTTTGAAATTGCAATCAATGAACTTTCTGTTACATAAAGTTCCTTTGTGTTCACATTTTTGGGATTTTGAAAAATGTATTCAGTAAATGTCCATTAAACTTTTTGGAAAATATAAAGCCTTTCATAAGCCTGTTATTTTTACTATTAAAATTTTTAATATATTATTTGAGAATTGATATGTTTGCCTCAAATCTTTAGGTGATTGATGGCTTTCTGTATATTAAAGAAACTGTAAAATACAAGGGATATAGATCAAAATGCATATAAAAGTCTATAGATTCTTAGATTTTCACCTACCAATTGCAGGCTGTAGTAAATTAGGTCTCTAATAAGATTATGGTACTAAAACTGAGTTTAAACATTTTATTGATATGAAATTTTAAACTATAGGTAGCTTGTTTTAAGTTTTTCATTGTATAATCCTATCACATTATTAATACAGTACAGGTATAAATTGCTAAACAACCAAGCATATATGGCATAAAAGATTAAAAAATAATAAATGTTAGATGGAGGAGGTGCCTTGTATAGCTTTGGTACTAAACTATTACTAGAAGAGATTTAACAGTTGTAGTTGTGGATTTAAGCTTAGTAAGTTTCATGATTTAGAAATTGTATGAGTCATACTTAAATCCATTCAAACTTACCTATATTTCTATTTGTATCACAAGTATTTTGTAATTTTGTAAGCGCTCAGAAATACATTTTTATTCTTGGTGCGTTTGATACGTTTTCAAAGGAATTTAACTAAATTAATTGCCCTTTAAATAATATATATCTACCATCCATATACATCCTAGCTCATATTCAGTCCTTAGTGGTGGTTTTAGGACCTTGTCAAAGGGGGGGGGGGGCTAACTAAGTGTCCCATGGCTATTTTTAAAAGCCATTTAGTGACTTTGTAAAGCCATTTAGTGACTTTTGTAAAGCCATTTTTAACGTCTAGAACTGTATCCAAAAACCTCAGTTACGTTTTTATAAAAAAGGCACATGTGTTTAGACTTCTATTTCTAAAGTTCAATGGGGGGAGGTGCTTTCGCTCCTATAGCACCCCCCCCACCCTTTGAACCGCCGATGATGGTCAGTGCGTTTAACGACTCATTAATCTGAATCACAACCAATCCAACCTTGCATAGGTTAAAAAGGAAGTGTATGGTCAAATCTTCCTTAATTATTACAGATGTGGATATGATAGTTGGCAAAACTGATTTTTACTTTGCTGCATCACTGGCCCGTGGTCTGCGTGCATGTTGAACAAAGTGACACCCAGTCTATGTGTAAAATTAAAATGTATACCACGAGCCGTGGTAATGACCTTAGCATCGCAAATATGTGGCGATTGGTAGCCGTGGTAATGACCTCAGCATTGCAAATATGTGGCGATCGGTAGCAAACGTGTTAATAACAAATACACACACTCCCACAAAACAATGAAGTCAAATGTTGTGTTAATAGTAAGAACTTAATATAATTTTTAAATATGTCGAAATAAAATATTTTGTTATCAGTTTCAGGTGATCTTGTGAAACAATGGCGCTTTACGAAGTTAGTTTGCCTAACACCAGTCACCCGCAAGAGATGAAAAGTGAAAACTTCAAATCAATCTATAACAAAAAGATTGGTAAAGTTCCTGAAATAACAACCCTGAATGATTTGATTCGTGAACTTCACGTTGTGTTTGAGAGTGATCATGTAAACATAGAGTATGTTCATGCTCTCATGTCGTCCTACAAGAGCAACCCAGCGGATTGGAAGAAGTTCGCCAAGTTTGACCGTTACAAGTAAGTCAATTGAAATATGGTAAACATTTTTTATTGTTTATATGTTCATCGAAAATACATCATGTGTCAAGTATAGGGCCGCGTTAAGGGTCAGTGGAGCCCTGGGCAAACCCAAAAGCAGCGCCCCCTATTTTCCTAGTGCGGGAGGGTGGTAGATAGGGGGCACCTGGCGGACGCCCCTCATAACCACCAGTGCCCCCGGGCATATGCCCAGTCTGCCCGTTTATAAAAGTGGTCCTGGTTCTTCAAACAGCTAATGGATGCAGATATAATCTTTTGTTGGTTTTAAGTACACTTTCTCTACAGTAAAAATTTCGGACCTCCCAAGAGAAATACCAAACACTTTGGTAATCAATTTTAAAGTGTTAGATGTATATTTTTACAGTTTTCTCAAGGGCCGTTAAACATTAAACACCTTTTTCAGCTAAATTTGTTTGTATTGGTCTTTGCTCCAGCAGAGATTCTTTTTCTATTTTCCAATATATTTCGCAATGGAGTGTGACTTCAGGGAGTGTGGCATTATTCTTATTTACTCCAACCTAACACAAAAACATAGAGTGTGTAGAGCTGCCGTTATACAAAATACATTAACGGTTTCTATAGTGTAAATAACAACAGCTGTGTTTCTGAGTGGGTGTAGTGCTTGCCTGATGATCAGAAGGTTTAATCCTGAGAAATGTTGGTATAGCCTTTTGGCTTTTGATGGCTTGAAACTGTACAACTGGCTTTGCTGTCCTTAATCATTGGACTTTTAATAAATGATCATGGTTGAAGACACAGCTGATCTTAGTTAACTTACATAGCTTATAATCTAATTTACTTACCACTCATCCTTTGTCCATCTTATCCTTAAAATATGTAAACCGATCTGTTGGCGTCTTACAATTCTAAATATAAAAATAGCCTTTGTACAAATTGTACCTAAATTGTTATAGTTTAATAAGTTAACATAAATGAACTATTGTAATCAATCTATGATAGTGCTGTAGAGGTGGAGGTCAATAATAGTTAGAAGTTATGAAGTATGCCTTGCAAAAAAAAAAAAAAAAGTTTCCATGATTAGTAAGTTCCCTAAAAGTTGCATAAACCCAATTAACAAACTACAAATGTTAATAAATGATCATGGTTGAAGACACAGCTGATCTTAGTTAACTTACATAGCTTATAATCTAATTTACTTACCACTCATCCTTTGTCCATCTTATCCTTAAAATATGTAAACCGATCTGTTGGCGTCTTACAATTCTAAATGTAAAAATAGCCTTTGTACAAATTGTACCTAAATTGTTATAGTTTAATAAGTTAACATAAATGAACTATTGTAATCAATCTATGATAGTGCTGTAGAGGTGGAGGTCAATAATAGTTAGAAGTTATGAAGTACCGGTATGCCTTGCAAACAAAAAAAAAGTTTCCATGATTAGTAAGTTCCCTAAAAGTTGCATAAACCCAATTAACAAACTACAAATGTAATCAAATAAGATCATACCGGTAGCTTATAAGGTTAATTTCTTTTCATGGCAGTGACGGACTCTATATGCTGTATTACTGTGCCATAGTAATAAGTTCTATGGCCAAGCATTTTATCGTGCTTTGTTCTTGTTTTTTTATGTCCATGTGAAGTATTTTTAAGACGTATGCTGACCTCCTATGAGTGGAGAGTTTAAAATTGTTATGCTTCAATATGACACCATAGGTGTTAAAACCGGTTGCCATTACATGACTCCGGGATTACTTGGACGGGAAGGTAACATAGCCTCTTATTGATAACTAATTGTGAAGAAATCCGGAACGAAATACACAAAATGAAGATGGATTTATTTTTTAATTTAATAAGTGTCATTGATACATTTTATTTGAATCACCAGATCTTATCAAATATTCCCTCCAGTCCAAAAATTATTGTATTTAATCTAAACAAATATGTTTACTTCTTGCTTTATTTTAATTAAAAACCTCAACCTTAAACGTTTTTTATCTTGTGAAGTGTGAAGAGATACATGACTCAGGAAGAGGGGTTGATATAGTTGTAATTCTGCAGTTGGCACTAATATGGCAAAGTTATCAACTGTCAAGTTTATCTAATGCATTAAGTTTAATGGCTTAGATAAAAATATACTATGTGCACAAATTTATCTGTTAACTTTAATTAATTGCTGTTTAATTGGAAGTTCAAGATCCAGTACATTGTTTAATTTTGTTCAACAAAAGTAAATTCACTGGTGGTCAGCTAAATTTAATTAGATTCTTCCGTAGATTAGACTTTATGACGTTTATTTTTTTATTTGATTATTCAGAAAGAGTTTTGTTGTGATTAATACTTTGTAATCAGCAGTATAGTAATCAATATGTAGTAAGTGGTGATCGATTTCAATTGGACATTATCAGACAGCTCTTTTGCATCATCGAGCAATTTCGATCATCATCAGACCCAATCGGTGAATCACCACCTACCATCTCGAAATCGAATCGATCACCACTTACCCTCTTTTATGTATATTTATCATCTTGTGAGATAACAATATAAGTGTAAATATATGTTTTAAGAGTGTTGTTAGACATATTTTTATTGGATTTCTGTAAATTGAATAACACATAAGGTTGATCAAGAAGTAACCCTATTTAGAAAATGTAGAAATTGAATTAAATAGACTGTGATACATTTAAACTGGATCCAATCATAATGATCCAGGAGGTGATTACTATATTGCTGATTACAAATTATTGATCACAACAGAACTCTTTCTGAATGATAAAAAAAATATCAAACTCTAATAATATGGTAGCATCTAAATAAATTCAACTATGCCAAACATTACTAACAATAGTGAATTTACTTTTGTTAAATCACATCAAACAATGTACTGGGTCTAGAACTTACAACTAAACAGCAATTAATTAGTGTTAACAGGTAAATTTGTACACATAAAACCCTTTTATCTTTTACAATCTAGTGAGTTGTTTCAAGAGTGTTATTAACATATTTTTATTTACTTCTGTATATTTTCTGTTTTATTATTACAGTATGGTTGTAATTCTGCTTCAAAGTGTTGATTGATTGATTGATTGTAAGAGGGTGGACTCATGGTCCAAGCACGTAAACCGAAGCTTATTGTGCATCCCGCTTGCCACTAACTGGGTAAGCCTATGCCTGTGTCCCTAACTAGGTGCAGGAGCTTTTGCCCAATGTTAGCGTCTGGTTCCTCACCTGGCTGCTTTAGACCAAACAGAGCCCTTCTCCTAGCCCGTAGTCCATCGCAGTCCAGAATAAGGTGTTTTGCAGTCTCATCGGACTGGTTACCAAGTCGACACTCGTGCTTGTCATTGACAATTCCTAGAGTGTGGAGATGTTTTCTGAAATGGCCGTATCCAGTGATAAGAGCAAGTACCTGCTTGACCTGCCCTCTCCCCAGCTTTAGCAGCCAGCGAGTGAAGAGGGTGCTAGGTTCTGAGAGCAGTTTTTTGCCAAGTGATTGTCCAGGATGATTACGCCAACGCTCAAGATGTTATCCCCTGGACCATTTGTTGATTACATGTTTAGCGGCCGCTTTGCTGATGCCACAAAATGGCTCTGGTCCAAAGAGTGGCATGCTCGCACCTTTTTTTGCCAGCTTGTCTGCACTCTCGTTGCCGCCAATGCCTACATGGCCTGGGACCCAGCCGAGAGTTACAGAGTTCTGTGATGCAAGTCTGCAGAGGGTGTTGAAACACTCCCAGACCAGTTTTGAGGTGACTTCATTTGAGTCAAGAGCTTTGAGAGCAGCCTGACAATCAGATAAAATCACTATCCTTTTGTCTTGGTACCGTCTGGCTAGTCCTAGGTTGGCACAAGCCAAGATACCATAGATTTCTGCCTGGAAGATGGTACAGTATTGTCCCAGACTTTCTGAAAGTTCTGTTCTGGGTGATCGACAGTAAACCCCAAAACCAGATTTTCCATCGATTAGGGAGCCGTCTGTGTACCAGACGAAGCTCTCCATATCTTGGAGATGCCCTTCCTGATGTTTCCACTCATCTCTGGAATTCAACATTAAAGGGTTTGGTGAAAACTACTTCCTTGCTTCAAAGTGTTAATAGACATTACCTGTAATGGAATACCTGGAGGGGATAATGAGGAGGGTTTCTTTTAGTCTAGCTGCAATTGGAATTGTGTTGGATGTTTAGGATTTTACTAAAAACTGTTTAGAAATATTGTTAAGGTAAAGCATCATAACATATAAGTTGATTTTGTTGTTGTTGTAACATAGATCTAATGATGAATCTCAGGTAGGCCTACACTCATCTTCAAATATTATCATTGTATCTCATGATTAATTATTGGGTTCATGTTCATTTGGATCATGCTCAATGAAAATGGTATTGAAATTTTAATTTGTTTACTAATATGGTACCGGTAAATGGAATTATTTTTAACTGTTCTAATTTTCTAAAGGTATACAAGAAATCTGGTGGACAAAGGTAATGATAAGTTCAACCTAATGATTCTATGTTGGAATGAAGGTCAAGGCTCTTTGATTCACGACCATGCCAACGCACACTGCTTTATGAAAATGTTGCAGGTAACTGAATTTGCATTTAATAACTTTGTCTGTGTCTAAGCTAAGATTGCATATTTCGACCAGGAAATAAAATAGGCCAAAATTCTTTGTCCAGTCTAAGCAAAAAAGTATTTTTTTATATTAAAAATAATATTTAATTTAATATTAGTATTGTATTTATCTATTAACAGCATATTTATTCCTTGACCCCAACCCCACGTGTAAAGGCAAATGAGAACTCTTTACCCATTCTTCATACTTATCACCACTAATTAAAACTTAAAACCAAAAAGCCATCAGGCAAAAAAGAAGGGGGGGTCAAGGTATCCTTCTCTGTAAAAAATTGTGGTCCAGGATCCTCTCCTGCAAAATTTGGTATTATTTTCAACTATGTCCAAAAACCTCCGAAACATTTTCAGGACGAAATGAATGTTTACATTTATTTTTCAGGGTCCAATGGGGGAGGGGGCTTTAGCCTCTTCAGCCCCCTCCCCTTGGAACCGCAACTGAAATAGTCAAATGTTTCATAAAGTCATTGTGTAGAAGACAAAAATTAACGTGTTTGCTTCGACTCAACCATTAAAAATATAAATAAAACAATTAATTGTTAATTTTAAAAACAGTTCATCTTTTCATTTCAAAATACTATTTTCAGGGCCAGTTATCAGAAATAAGATTTGAGTGGCCAAAAGATGAAGAAACAATCCCTACTCAAGCCCAACCAAACAAAATGGTGGAAATTTCAAGAACCACGCTTCATCAGAACGAAGTCTGCTACATCAATGGTATTTAATATTTATATTTTACACCATAAAATAAAATTCTAATAAAAAATGTAGTGAAAAATTGAATTTGACTACTTAATGATTTATTAATTTACTGTTGTTCAAGTTTGTGTACTGTATTTGCATATTTTCTGAAATAGAGGGACTGGTGTTGATAGCAGAGTCCCCTACCAGTGTCAGATAGCCCTCATTATTTTATTCTTTTTCACTTATATATCTTCTTTTAGTTCTGTTTAAGCATTAGTTACTAATTTACAATATTTATTTTTTGTGTGTTTTAAACTGATTTTTAATATCAAAAAGTGATGTCCCCCCTCAAAATCCTGCCATCCCGGTTCAAGTGCATCAAAGTATTCATTTGTCAAGAAAATCATTTGTTGATATAAAGCAAAATTTCAAAACTGTCTAAATTCAAGGTGAAAGTCTCATCATATAATAACATATTTTCACCAAGTCTTGGTATGTGGAATCCTATTTCAGTATGAGGCTGTGTAAACAATACACACACAATCCAGGCGTAGCTGAAAACCCCTTCCTGGTCCTAAAACTTTGCAAAAACAACAATTATTTTTTAATGGTCAATTTTTATCTCTGTAAATAACAAAAACTATAGACAGGTGACTTGATTGTCAGAAAGAACTAAGAAAATTTGAGACAATAAAAACCATATTTTTTGTGCATGTACACAGACTCCTTCACAACACACGTGTGTTTTAGCATTGACTATATACAAAGTAGTCAATGGTGTTTTAACTTTAACACAAGTGACACTTTGTAATTGAGAACACCTAACATTTTTAAGAAAAAACAGTCAAAACTCCTCTTTTTTTGTAAATTTGCCAAAGATCAAACTCGTCCCTCTTGCACCAAAATCTGAGATGTTACCAACTAGGCTGGCAACACACCCAATCTAGGTAACCAGACAAGCTATACCTCATGTTCCCAAAGTACCCACTGTCTCCAACAATAAGCTTAAAACGCCTAAATAAATTATTATTTACAGTCAGAGTTAGATTAATTAAAAATGTTCTCATTCGGCACAACAATAATAATTTGTTGAGTGCATGTTTCAAGTTGCATGAATCTTGATGTTCAATGATGGTTGACTCTGACAGATGAGCTTGGCCTTCACCGAGTTGAGAACCCAAGCCACAGTGACGTAGCCATTAGTCTTCACCTCTACTGCCCTCCCTTCAACCAGTGTGCTGTCTTTGATCTGCGTACTGGTCAAAAATCAATCTCAAAAGTCACCTTCTGGTCTCTCTACGGCCACAGAAAAAACAAGGTAACGGTTGGAAAACTTTTTTTTATTGATCATATTATTACTTTGTGCGAGTACGGTAAAGCTTACCGGGCGAGTAACGTACGATACTTTACAACATACTACACAGAAAAATTAGTATATTTTAAACTCATAACACAATTTATTTAGGACATGACATAAATTATAATATTTTTATATTTCAGAAAATAAAATAGGCCGTTGTAATTATACTCCGTTCAAACAGCCGTGGCACCTGAGGGATTAGGAGGCCCCAAGGGTTTCCATGGGGTCTACTAATCCGTCAGGTACCACGGCTGTTTGAACGGAGTATAGCTGTTTATTTCATTAGCTGACTAAGTGCTCGGTAAAAGTACATTACGATACTTTTCTGTGTGTAGGCACGGCAAAGGGCAACTTTCCAGCCTATCAATATGCATGGAAAAATACCTGTTTCTGTGTAGTATGATGTAAACCCTATTGCAGTATTGCCAAACTGATTGGTAATAAGAAAGACAATTGATCTCAGAAATAGTAACTCAAAGGTATTTATGTCAAATGGCAAATCCTTAAAATTGAGAGTCAGATTTTCTGTAAAGATATCATGGTGGTGTGTAACTGCACCATTAGTGTTTTTACCTAATTTTAATATTTTCCATTGCACTCTTGTAGTTCCCCTTGCTGGATACTCGTAAAGAGGAGAAATGCAATTGAAAGGTTTGGAGGAGCTTGGATTCTTCACTTTTGGATCCTATTAGAATATATTTTGCATTACAATTTTCATTTTTGTTTCAGTCATCTCAAGAAAATGAAGAGAAAAAGATGCTTACATCAGAGTGAAAAGAAGTATTATCTTCAGTGTTACTTGTTTTCAAAAGACACAAATAAAACTAAGTGGAGTTCATTTGTGATGTTAATAAGCCACTGCCACAATCCACACTATTTAGAACTAACTATATTTAAGTGTTTAGAATATTATGTAAGGTATTAATTATTTTCATTAGGAAACAATCTTTGAATAAACTTGTTTTTGTTTTTAAAGAGTGCTAATAATTTCATTTTCCCAATATCTGGGCATTTTCACATTCACAAACTCCTGATAAAATTGTTTGGAATGATTGATTGTATAAATTTCACAACTCAATGAAGATGACGTTGAGCAGAATTCAAGCATGCACCATTATATTTCATATACGGTAAAGTGCAGGAATTGGCAACAGAATGCATCAATAAACAAATGTTACCTATTAAATTGTAAAGAATCAGATAGATGTCATTTTCATGTTTCCCATTCAATATGTCTTCTCTTCTGTTCTAATGATGTGCTGGGATCTTTTTTTGTGCCCTGCTTTGTCTCTTACAGCTCATTCTTAACTTCAAACTCCATTACAAACCTGCCTACCCAGTAGGGTTCAAGAAGAGTTACATCTTCATACCTCTATTTGATGCCTCCCAAAACACTGGACTCTTTTTAGACAGACTGCTTCACACTCAGTAAGATGTCTTGGCGTTCCAGTCCTCTGTTATCATTTTAGCTGTCTTAATAAGTCTGTACTGTAGTGTCCAGGTAGAAGTTTGGTTACTTTTCTAAGATCAGGGCCGACTAGAGGGTGGGGCCGGGGGGCCAAAGCCCTGGGGCCCAGGGCTCTGATGGGGTCACGACCCAGTCGAATGTTAAATTTTTCTGTACATGTAATCTGCAAAAGTCAAAACTTTTAGCATAGTTTTCCGGTTCACTGTAATTTTTGACTTGAATAAAGCTGCAACTAACTGTGAACACGTGAATTAATCAAAATATCAAGCATTTAAGAAATGTATTGTTATTTTTGTAACAAAACGGCATGAATGCGGCTGGACTAAATCAGGAAAGTAGGGGGCCCAGGATCGTTTAGCCCAGGGGCCCGTGATGGCTCTCGCCAGCCCTGTCTAAGATCAATCTTACTCAGCTAACTAAGTGTCACTCCTCTTTGAGTTGTAGTTACAAGTGATTCCTCAGCTGGTCTACATAATGTGAGGGTTACCCAACACTTTATATTTTGAGTGCCTTTTTCAAGAAACCTCTCTCCAGCCCAACGATATCATCTGACTATACAAAAGGGTCACACAAAAGGTACACAAAAGAGAGGTACACAAAAGGGCCCTGTCTGCTCTATAGCTTAAACTTCTTATCAGTTTTAATCCCACATAAAGGATGGACCTTTGCTATCTTAGTACATGGAACGACTACAGGAAATATTTGTATGCAGACTTTATTTTATGGCTGTATTCTCGTATATACTTTATTATACGCAGTTTATTAACAATCCAGTAAATAGCTTTGAGTAAACAGTTAAGTTACCCCCCCTTTCTGATAATTAAATTGGAACATTTTACTTTCACTAAATTTTAAACCCATTTTCACTTGTTTTTGGCTTGATATATACTTCATTATGGTAGGTATATTTTTCAATTATCAGCTTAGTTCATAAACATTTAAGGATTTTCATTTGGAAAATACTTGAGGATATACCAAGCCCTATAGTTAGTTAAGTCCAATACCTATAGATATAGTTAAGCAATATGTAATGTAATGTTGTAATGTGTAAAGATGAGTATGTTTATTGTACCTGTATGTTGATGTTAGATCCTTGCAGAACTATATCTTATAAGGTGGGTTAAGAAGTAAGAAGGTTGTATTTTTGTCACATGGGTTGATGTGAGTATAAAGAAAAAAAATTGATTTAAGCCTGTCTCTTGTACACAGTAATGAAATTTTTTAATAATTGTAAACCATTGCCTCGTGTTTTTAATGGGATATAAATAAAATTGAAGCTTTATACTTTAATTGTTTGAAGGGTGTCCACACCAGTGGTATTTTGTATTAAATAATCCCAATCGCTTTAGAGAGAAACAGCTTTATGTGTGTGTTGAAAATTTCCATACTTATAGCTCACTTTCAGTCTGGAAAATATTTGTCTATGTACCGTACATTGTTTGGCTTTTTATCACATTCCTTAACTGCATTAATGTCCTTGAAAGAGATATCTGATCCAACATTTCAATTCAGTCAAATGAAATTTAATGTGTAAACAGGAAATTAAATGTTCAGATCAGTCGGCATGATATGTTCTGAACTGAAAACGTGTGATAGTTGAATCAGGCAATATTGTAGGAACCATTAATTAGTAATGAAGATGAAACTGTTGACTTTGTTGTTTGTTTTCTCTGTTCTTTATACCAATAAGGTGCATACAGCACCAAAATCGGTGAGTATTGTTCAGTGTAAAATATAGTTTTATATGGTAGGCCTATTTTAATTGCTATTGACCTATGTCTAGATAGCTAAGAGTGAGGTCATTTGACCAACAAGTTAACAAGTTAAGATGCTCAAGGTTCTCAGAGGAAGTTTGTTTTAGCATTTCCTGATATGATTATGTGCTCTTTTAAAAATGCATATGTAAATTGGACGGAGACTTCCTTTCTAAAATACAAGGAATATACAGAAAGTAAGGAATGTTTTGCATATTGATCGCTCAATTTCTTGTAAGGCGTGACTATCCAGCTGTTACAGCCAAAGTTTGGTTGTGCTGTCCATCGTCACAGCATTAAAGTTCAAAAGGGTACTGAAAATCCCGGGTTTTGTTAACTATAAACTTAAAAATTACAAGCTATTGATATTTATCAACATTGGTATGAAGTGTAAAGGAACAATGTAATAAACGAAAAAATTCTGTCCGGAAATGGTGTGTGTATTTTAAAAATCTCCTAACTGTATTTAACGGCCAAAATTTTCTTTTTGTATGACAGTGTCTGACCTCAAACTTCAAATCGCACACAAAAATTCCTTCATTCATTCAAATGGGAGATTTTCCCTGGCCCAGGCATAGCGCATAGCTAAGAGTAATTTTCATTGGTTCCTAGTTCCCTTGTTTTCTTATTATTAAAGGCTTTGTTAGCAGCCCATCACTTTAACTATGGCAAAGAGCTCGAATTCTTTGTTACTGGGTGGCTGAGCTCGCAGGCGGAGGAATTCTATGACGAAGGAATTTCAAAGCTCGTCTACTGCTTTGATTAGTCTAAAAGTGTCTCAATTTGTTAGGCGACTATAGGGGGTGTTCAAAAAAGAGGTAACATATTTTATGTAGTGTTTGCTTGGGTCAAAATAAGCAAAAATGTTTGTATACAGATTATGTCCTACCTCGTTCCGTTTAACATGTGTCTGTCTACATGTGTTTTTTACAAAAACATTCACAACTCCTTAAGGGTCTGGGCTACAGTGTTGAGACTCTACAAAAATGTTTATCTTATTAACCCCTATGTTTGTGAAAATTATGAATAAAAACTCTTAAACCGTTTCAAAGTTGCTGTTATTTTGATTATTTGATGCCAAATTCCACAAAAAACATTACCTTTGCTAAAAAATTGTTAGTAAAATAAAATGTTGTAAATTTGATGCAGATTTAAACGATATATTTTTTTAGTTTAGTTTGGACAAATAATAACTTCTTTGGATCTTTTTCTTCTTTTTTTTTAACACTATTACTTATGTAAGAGTGATGCAAAAAAATTCTAATACTCCTACTTTTAGATTTTATTAGGAATATGACACACACAAACATTATGAACTTTATTTCTGTCTCAGGTTGAAATTATATACCAAGAAAGGAAACCATTCTATGCAGAAATTAAATTCTTAAATGCAAGTACAAAGTAATGCAAAACACCTAAACAAATTATGAAAAGAAGAACACCTGCTGATAAGTCGAATGTAACCTTTAAGAGGTAAACCCCCCCCCCCACCCCTTTAATGAGTTTTTCGAAGCTCAAAGTCATAATGTTCAATTCTTTGTCTGCTTTTACACTACCTGTCTAAATTTGTGATGTAGTTCTTTCTTATATAGATAAAGTTGTGAGTGATTAATTTTTAGGGCCCATATGACCTAATAGTGAGTCGTTGTGAGGCATGTGATGACATGGGAACTGATGAAATTCACTTCGGCACCAAAATGAGTAGAAAAGACAACAAATTAAAGACCTACACTAACGATGTTGTGTTTCTTGTACCTTGGGACGATACTGTAAAGGTGAGTTTTATCATAGACTATGTTTAATCTATAGGTTTACACAACTATTATAAGGCTTTTCTAAAAAAAAAATTATAAAAAAATACCCCCGCTGCAGCAAATCTGCAGACTAAGCAAATTTCCATTTGCCTGATTGGATTTACACGAAAACGTCTCCTTACAAATATCACATTTATTCCCTATTTGTATAGCATTAGTTTAACGAGTACTTAGGTTTGCTGCAACAGGGAGGGTAAAAAGGTGTTTTTTGTATAATGTTAATAGCTAAGTATGAAATGAATGCATTTCCCAAATTTGATCAAAATATGCTCATAAGCAAGCAAACTACAACAAGTTTACAATTTTCTCCATATAAATAACATGGGAATTTTAAATTTAATGTTTTTTGAATTTTCTCTGTAGCCATTAGGTGCATAATAACGCTTCAATATACAAAATTATTTGTTTTTTAAAGCTCTACATTATAGTTTGGAAAAAAAAACTGATTGACACCATCCAGTTGAGGGTGGGGGCCGTTGAGGTCGAGACCGTTCGTACTGCCAAGAGGCTTGGGGTTATGGTGGACAGCAAGCTTAGCTGGCGGGATCAGATCTTCCGTACGGTGGACAAGGCCGCTAGGGTGGTTTCTTCTCTTAGCTAGTTGATGGCCAATGTCGGAGGACCTCGGTCCAGTGGTAGAAGGCTGTTAATGTCTTTGGTCCAGTCCGTACTCTTGTACGGTGCGGAGGTGTGGGCAGACACACTCAGTAAGGAGGTATATAGGATGCTGAGTGCAGCGTCATTCAGCACTAAGAGTAGCATTTGCCTACCAAACTGTGTCCGAACCCGCCGTCCTGGTGGTTACTGGAGTCATCCCCGTCAAACTTTTGGCGGTGGAGATAAAGGCAATTTATCAGTGCCGTGGGGAGGACCTGGCATGAACAGAGGTACGCTACCGCACCTACCAGCTGTGGCAGGAGAGCTGGGAACAGGAGACACGGGGACGCTGGACCAGGCGACTGATACAGCAATTCCAACATTGGGTTAATCGGCGGTGCAGAGAGGTGGACTTTTACCTCATCCAATTTCTGACGGGTCACGGCTTTTTCTGGTTGTATCTGTTCAGGATCGGCAATACTTCACCCGATTGTATATACTGCCCAGACATTCCCAATGACGTGGAACATACTTTTTTCCACTGCCAGCGTTGGGAAAGGCCCCGCCTGGAGGCTCAACAGTTAGTAGGACTAGTGGACACGGTAATACCGATGATGACGGAGGGTGAAGACGATTGGACCTGTGTGTCACATTACATCCAGGGTATTCTCCGTGCCAAGAAGTTCGACCTTGACCGGGATGCGGTGTAGGTCATTAAGAATCGGTGCCAGAAACGGTGAGAGCCCTGAGGGCTTAGGTCACATGTTGGCTTGACTTGAAGTAATGTGACAAACAATTCCAGGTCCTTGTCCAACAGAATAGAGCTGGAGAGAATGGGGTTTTTTAGTGAGTAGTCTGATAATTTCAGGAGTCTCACACTACAGGCTGGCTACCTGTGTGCGTAAAAGCATTTTCCCTCCTTTCCCAAAAAAAAAACTTAAATTTTGAAGTACTCAAATATACGCAGGGTTTGAAAATTGAATTGAATAAAAGTAAATTAAAGTAATTGATAAAAACTACTCAATTAAACAAACAGTAAAACAATTTATTATCAAATGTATTACGTTAAAAGATTTTTGTATATAAAATAGTATGTAATAGTGAAAAGCCAGTGAAGTGACAAACCAAAAGTGTTACAGGGAAAAAAGAAGAAAAAAATCTAAAAAGAGATAAGGTATCAGTGACAGTGACTTATTAAAAAAAAATGGACCTACTCAAGACAGTAGTTATGTAGAATATAAGATATAGTTTTAAGTTTTTCAACCGGGCGTGTTTTCCAACAAATGGTTGAATAATTGTATAAAAGCTTTTTTTATATGAATACAAATTTTTGAACTGAACTGAACATCTCTAACTATCATGGACACATAATGATCGTCACCCACGATGGCTGCATAATCCTAAACAGCAAAATCCTTTTGTCAAGGGAAGGGAGTTGAGCCCCCCAAACCCGACCCCCTCCTTGGCTATGCCACTGATTGTCTTGCCATTATTTTACATTGTGCTTTAAAAAGAAGAGTAAAACGTACGAAGAGGGTATAAAGAAGTGGTTGCTAAAACGTGAAGAATATACACTCTTCAGGTTGTTGAAAAAAATTTCATTGAGTGACCCTTGAGACTACCACAATTACCTAAGAATGAATGAAGATAAGTTCCAGTTGTTACCTTACTCTCAATGGTAGAGCCATATTTAGCTAAAAAAGTACAAATATATATTACTGTTAAGGAAAAACTTTATCGAACCTTAAACAACATGTTTAATAAACAACATGTAAACAAAGAAAATCAACGAAATAACAATACAACAATCAGCTGTTTAATTATTTCATGTTCTAGTTGTTTTTCTAGGCCACTTATTGGGTATATTTTAGGACCACTTTAGGGTATTTAGGACCACTATAGGCAGTCTGCAGGTATTGTAACCTTCTTATTTTGATTTGTTTAATTATTAACATATGTTTCATATGATTAGATTATACATACCGGCAAACCCCATTACAGCCATACATCTTTTGAAAAAATCTACCTTTCATAATTATTTTCAAATCTACGTGGATAAAGATTTCCATTGACTTTAATACTATTCATATCTTGAAAATACCCAATAAAAGCAGCCTAAAGTTGGCTACAAATAGAAACTTGAAAAGAGCCGTTTTCAATGTATTTCTTATGGAAAACATGAGGTTTTACATTTTTCACCATAAATCATAACATAAAACAAACTTTCATAATGCGATCGGTCCAGTAGAACTGTAGATTTAGTTTTACAAAGCTTTTTAAAACTGAATTATTATATAAAGTAGATTAGCCATAACAAAAGGTCCACAACGACCTGCCATTATGATTTGAACTAGTTGTTCCATCATAATGGCAGGTCCACAACGACCTGCCATTATGATGGAACAACTAGTTCAAATCCAACACTAGTGCCCTGTTCTTTTACTTTCTTCGCTACCTGCTATTTACCTGTCCTGATTACAAAATGACCTTCATTTGCTTGGTAGTGTAGTATATATATCAACTACATACAGTACTTATACTGATACTGAGCTTCGCATCGAGGTGAGGACAGGCTATAATAGGATAGAGGCAGGAGAGTTAACTAATTTGATTCAACTTATTCCGGCAAACCTTGTATTCTATTCACATTTCTAGCTTGACTTGGAGGGGCAGTTCTTAAGGAATGGCGCATATGTTCCCAAGTATATGACACAAAGTTTTAAAACCTGTGAAAGGGCAAGGAAAACGTTGAAACATCTGACTGAAGGGTTCTTCGGAGCAGCTGGTTACAACTTCACATCATGTCCGCTACCAGCTGTAAGTTTATAGGCCTACACCAATGTCTAGATTTATACATTCTACTAATACAATTTTGGACCTTAAGTATTTATGGGACCTGTAAATTTGTAACAGCCAGCCTTGTAGATCTTGGAATTAAGCACTCACTTAACTACCAGCTAATAAATCTTTGTTCTTGTTTGTAGGATTTTGTTTTGGTAAACAATTAATTCCCTTCTTATCCCTCTTTGGATGGAGTTCGTAAACTAGCATCCTGGTTTACTTAATTGGACACATAAAGGTTTGTTTTGTGTCCTTGCTATGAATGAAGGGGTTTTTACTGTGACATTTGTTTCGTGCTAATAAGGGTATGTGAAATGTGTAAAAGACTGTATAGTGAGACTTCTCTGAGGTGTACCCTAAGTGTATTTTCTAAATGACAGCGTTACTCATAAATAGCTAAAATTTGTTTTAGTCAACGAATACTCTAGTCATTATTCCATCTTTAAACAATACGGTATTGTATCGATTCAACAATAATAACTGCGAAAAACAAACATGCTTATTCAAAACTTAAATAAGAATTGCAGTTTTGGATAGAGACAACATGTTAGGCTCCTAAATGTTCAAGTTTAGAAAGCCTGAAATGAAATGATTTATTGTCGTTAAAACTATGTACAAAGTTCATGACAATCGTCAAACAATGGCCTATAAAATCTATCCTACTAATATTATAAATGAGAAAGTTTTTATGTATGGATGTATGTTTGTGACAAGTGAACGCGAAAAATACTGGTCGGATTGGGCTGAAATTGGGCCTAACGTATATCCAAGGGTAGACAGTGAGAATCTTATTTTAGTTTTCCAGACTTCTTAAGTCAATATCACAGTAACCATAACAACACAAACCATTGTAACACAGAAAATGTAGGCTAAATATAACAATGAGAGAGAGTGGGCGTAGGCTATAATACACATAATAGTGAAAAAAACATGAAAAACATGAATATAGGTAATTGTTAATAAACCATCGGTTGACAATAAAAAGTAATACCGAACACAATCTTAACATTAATTAAAAGAGATATAACAAATCAACTGTATAGATTGAATCTACAAATTTTAATATTTATAGAATACTCAGGTACTGTAAAACGGGAGGTATCTTGTTGAAATGCAAATGGTTGAACAATTTTTTAATTTTATTTTACACAAAGTAACTGCAGACAGTTAGCACCACTGGCATATAAATCAACTGAATCGGACTTTTGTTCATAGCATTATACCTATGTTCAAGGGATGCACTAGATTAAGGTCTCCATTGCAGCCAAGGGGGATTAGGTCACATTTGAGACCAACGCCATCGCCATGTTCCTTACTTCGCCCCATTCTGTTGCTGGTGATTTAAGGAAAAAGAAATAAAATTCTACAGAACACTAATTTCACACGCAACATATTTTTAGTAGCAAAATAAAATATTACACTTTTTGAGTTTATTTATGGTGATGGTGAACTTGATGTTATTTAAGAGAGTATTGTGAAAACGGTATTGATATTCTCTTAACTAAAAATAGTCTTTGCTTGTTAATTGTACAGTATTAAATGGGACAGTTTATATATTTGTTTGAAACTGCGTTGTTAGCTAAACCATGAGTATGTTTTATCTATGGCTAAACCTAATGTGTTTTTTTTCAGGGGACATACCAAGTGAAGGACTGGGTGGTTGATCTAAAACTGGATGACGTGCCATCTATAATTTATGGCTCTTACAAAATTCTGGTTACTTTTTCTAAGAAAGGCAAAAGGTTAGGTTGCCTCGCAGTCTACTTAGATGTGGTGCCTAAAGAAACAGTATAAGGTTAAGGTTTCATTTTTGTTTCCTTGTATTGATTTTATTTAATAGCATGTTGTACTTTCAATAAAAAACATACAATACAATTCATCATGGCTATATTATTCTGCAGCCCGAGACTAAGTTCTTTTGCTAAGCAGCTCAAACTCCTGACGTCCTGAGTGACTTCGGATCTCAGGTGCCAATCATTGACGGGGGACGGGGGGGACTGGAGGGGGAGGAGGGGGGCTGTGGGTCTCATGTGTCAATCACGGAAGGGAGGGGGACTGTGGGTCTCAGGTGTCAATCACGTAGGGGAGGGGGCTGGTTGTCTCAGGTGTCAATCACGTAGGGGAGGGGGGCTGGTTGTCTCAGGTGTCAATTACGTAGGAGAGGGGGGCTGTGGGTCGCAGGTGTCAATCACGTAGGGCAGGGGGGACTGTGGGTCTCAGATGTCAATCACGGTGGGGAGGGGGGACTGTGGGTCTCAGGTGTCAATCACGTAGGGCAGGGGGGACTGTGGGTCTCAGGTGTCAATCACGTAGGGCAGGGGGGCTGTGGGTCTCAGGTGTCAATCACGTAGGGGAGGTGGCCTGTGGGTCGCAGGTGTCAATCACGGAGGGGAGGGGGCTGTGGGTCCCAGGTGTCAATCACGTAGGGGAGGAGGGCTGTGGGTCGCAGGTGTCAATCACGGAGGGGAGGGGGCTGTGGGTCCCAAATGTCAATCACGTAGAGGAGGGGGGCTGTGGGTCTCATGTGTCAATCACGGAAGGGAGGGGGACTGTGGGTCGCAGGTGTCAATCACGGAGGGGAGGGGGCTGTGGGTCCCAGATGTCAATCACGTAGGGCAGGGGGGCTGTGGGTCTCAGGTGTCAATCACGTAGGGGAGGGGGGCTGTGGGTCGCAGGTGTCAATCACGTAGGGCAGGGGGGCTGTGGGTCTCAGGTGTCAATCACGGAGGGGAGGGGCTGTGGGTCGCAGGTGTCAATCACGTAGGGCAGGGGGGCTGTGGGTCTCAGGTGTCAATCACGTAGGGGAGGTGGCCTGTGGGTCGCAGGTGTCAATCACGGAGGGGAGGGGGCTGTGGGTCCCAGGTGTCAATCACGTAGGGGAGGAGGGCTGTGGGTCGCAGGTGTCAATCACGGAGGGGAGGGGGCTGTGGGTCCCAGATGTCAATCACGTAGAGGAGGGGGGCTGTGGGTCTCATGTGTCAATCACGGAAGGGAGGGGGACTGTGGGTCTCAGGTGTCAATCACGGAGGGGAGGGGGCTGTGGGTCTCAGGTGTCAATCACGTAGGGGAGGGGGGCTGGTTGTCTCAGGTGTCAATTACGTAGGAGAGGGGGGCTGTGGGTCTCAGTTGTCAATCACGGAGGGCAGGGGGGCTGTGGGTCTCAGGTGTCAATCACGGAGGGGAGGGGGCTGTGGGTCTCAGATGTCAATCACGGAGGGGAGGGGGCTGTGGGTCTCAGGTGTCAATCACGGAGGGGAGGGGCTGTGGTACAGTTATTACTGTTTCACGATCTACAACTTTGTAATTTAACATTTTGTTGAGTCTCCACCCCTTCACCTCCAAAATTCAGACTTGAACTCGAAATTTTACCTTATTTTCCCTGTTTTTGGTGTTGTTGGCTGCCGCGGAGTAGGTTAAAAACAATTTGGGCATGTTTGACTTTATAGTTCTCTTAACATAAAATGTCAAAAGTTTCTTCTTAGCCTAATTGGGGATTTCTACTCACCGTACTTAACCCTGAAATTGTGGGTGATGATTTTAGTAAAAATAAAAAATAAATCCCGATTTTAAAGATTACATTTAATCTATAAGTTCACAAACGTAAACCATCAAAGCATCAAATTTAAATTGGGACTACATGTCAAGACCTGTTTGGATCCCCAATAAATAAACAACTCCTATGAAATACTTTGAGACTGCCAAGTTATCATTCGTTTTTAACGCAGAAAAATAACCTTTATTTATTTAATTAACTTTATTAATTACCTTTTTATTTGGTACCTCAAATAAAAAGGGGCCTTGGGGTGGAGCCCCCAGCGAGCCAAAGGCGAGTAGAACAATACAGGGCGTTTATAAAAAAATCATAAGGTTTTAATGGCATGTACCCCAGCCAATTCTTAACCTGCATTAATATTTTAAACATAAGCTTAAAAAGTATGTTTCCAAGTTTTATAATCAGCTGTTCAATAATAAATCTTGTTTTTTTCTTGGATGTGTTTGCCTAATTTTCTAAATGATTACAATTCAAGAAAAACATTTTGGGTTTTTTATTATGATTTAAGTTCATCTTTAATAACTGTCCAGCATGAGTTTCGGAGGCATTTTAGACAGACTCCTCCCACATACCAAAGCATTTTAAGGTGGTATCGCTAGTTTGAGAACTCTGGCTCATCCTCCTCCTTAATATCTATGTTCGTAACTTCAATGAGAAGCTACCTCAAAGTTGGATTGGCAGATGTAACGATAATGACTTGACCCTTCTCAAATGGCCCCCTAGATCTCCTGATCTTAGGGTGTGTAATTTTTCTATAGGGCTATGTAAAAGACAAGGTTAATGTACCGCCAATGCCTCAAACGCTTCAAGAGCTCCGTGGAAGAATTCGCAATGCCGCAGAATCAACCAACCTTGCGATGCTAGCTGGTGTATGGGACAATTTACAGCATAGATTAAAAACTTGCCCCACGGCTAATGGACGGCACATTGAGCACTTGTAGGGGTATCTATGAAAAATTTAAGAGTTATCCTTTTTGTTGGTATGTTTTATATTCGTATTTGTTTTATAAACAAACAGGTTAGCTGGTACGTCACTAACCTGTTTTAAAACCTGATGATTCTTTTATAAACGCCTTGTATACTATACTTTGAATTGCTAATTCAAGCAATGTGAAATGAAAACACGTTTTAAAATAAAAATGTTGTATGAGCTTGTTAAATATGGTATTAAGAGGTAAAATTGTGAGAAATACCTTTAGATCCTAAAACTGAAGATCCATTAGGGTTTTGGTAGAACAGGAACAAGATGAGCAGAGAAGCGATGGCTCTGGCCAGAGTGACGAGAATCGAAGGACCACAGATGCAAGATGATGTTGAGAAATGACTATTGTTGTGTAGTATGTAATTCTTCACTGATTTAAATTAAAACTCTTCTTCATTAATAAAAAGAAAGCAATTCACTACTCATGAATATTCTGGACTGTACACGAAAATTTACAACACATTTACTTTAAATAAAAATATCTTCTTGGATCCTAGCTTGACACTTGGTACTATAAATTTGGAATCCATATTTAAATGAGAAATGATGAAATAATGCACTTGGAGCGGTAAGAGAGAAAGAGAGATTAAAATATTTAATATGAACTAAACCAAAAGGTAAGCACTGTGTACTGTGAGAGAGGTGAGTCTAAACTGCACTGACTAGTACGAAGTGCTGTAGTGAACTTTGGACAGTGATGTCATCATATCAGCTGTTGTATCCTTTCAATAACTGAACTAAAAACTTGACTTGAATGTTAATACTACTTGATTAATTGTTTATATTTGACTGTATATAGTTCATATGTTATTAAATAAATATTTTATTAAATGTCCTTAGTTGAATTACTAAATATTTAACATACCGGCCCCCCCTGAACCCCTGGGTTCTGAAAACAACACAAAAAATGAGAAAATCAATAAAAAAGGGGGGTGGTAACTCCTCTTCACTATTCCATAGGAAGGACAGACACCTTTGTCACAGGACGAGAGAGGTGTCCACTTGCGGTCTTCAGGTGCACGACCCGTACTATTCCATCAGTACCAGGTGAAACGGAGAGAACTCGTCCAAGCTTCCAGGAGAGTGGAGGCAAGTTGTCTTCATGAATGACAACCAAGTCATTGACTTCAATATTCTTCTTGGGGTTGACCCATTTATTTCTCTCTTGAAGAGTGTACAGATACTCTTTCTGCCAGCGAGCCCAGATATGTTGACTGAACTGTTGGACTAACTGCCAGCGTTTTAATCGGTTGATAGGAATGCTACGCAAGTCAGGTTCAAGAGGTGTCATAAGAGGACCACCTACTAAAAAATGACCTGGCGTCAAAGCTTCTAGGTCCGAGGGATCAGAAGAAAGAGGAGTTATAGGCCTAGAGTTCATCATTCCTTCAATACGGGTGATTAAAGTCGAAAACTCTTCCAGTGACAGGGTCTGTTGTCCAATGACTCTTATTAGGTGAAATTTCACACTTTTGACGGCCCTCTCCCAAAGGCCTCCCTGATGAGGTGCATGTGGAGGTAAGAAGTGAAATTTAATATTGAAATTCTCAGCGTAGCATTGTACTGTGGAATCCTTGATTAAATTTTCAAAGTTGCGTCTGAGTTTTTCGGATGCACCTGTGAAATTTGTAGCATTGTCACAGTGAATATCTGAAACGATTCCTCGTCTGGAGACAAATCTGGTAAGAGCGGCTAAATAGGCATCCGCTGTTAGGTCGGTTACTACTTCTATGTGTACCGCCTTAGTAGAGAAGCAAATAAATATACAAATATAAACCTTGATAGGTTGAACTCGTCTTAGTAGATGTTGCTTCACAAAGAAGTGTCCTGCATAATCTACACCAGATATGGAAAATGGCCTTGAAGGTGTAACTCGATTCATAGGTAATTCCCCCATGAGTGGAGAAGAATGAGGAGGTTTACATCTGAAACATTTTATGCATTTAAAGATCCTAGATCTTATTAAGCTTCTAGCACTGAGAATCCAGTACTTGTTTGCCAGCATAGCCTGAGTTAGAGTTGGACCAGAGTGCAAATATAAGACATGATGGTGGTCAATCAAAATATCAACTAACCTATGACCTTTAGGTAGCAAGACGGGGTGTTTGTGATCTTCAGAGATATCAGCCTTGTTTATTCTTCCCCCTACTCGAATGAGGCCATCTTTATCCAGATAAGGAGCTAGGCGTCTAATGCGTACAGAGCAAGGTTTATTGGATTTCAAACATGAGATTTCTTCAGAAAAATATTCTCGTTGAACCAATTTACAAATCAGGTTATGAGCCTCTTTTATCTCCTGAGAAGTTAAATTCCCAATTTGTTTA